AAGTAATAAAATGAACTAGGATCACACTCATCCAGCACGTTATTAATCTCACGTGCCCCACTCAATATGGCCGCCGCTTGAGTGTGGCAACTCAGAATAATAACGTGCTGTATTAGTGTGATCCTAGTTCATTTTATGACTTCATTGCTATGCTGTATGTGTATAGGCCAATGCCACGGATCCCAAACAGAAATAAGCAATTTCAGGTAGGTGTCCCTCTCATTTCAGGGAGGTGTGCCCCTTGCTGCTTTCAATCACCAGAAGAGGACCTGATAGAAAAATTCAGGTCCCCCTCTGCTGATTGACAGCAGCAGTGGGCGGGTGCATTAGCTACTTTGCTATTGGCTATTGCAAAGTGCAATAGCCAATAGGAATCTAGCTATGCATTCGTATGCCTTTTTTTTCTTTTCTGACTGACGGTCAGGCCGCGGCTCCCGATGTCAGAAAAGAAAAGGAAAAAAAAATGATCGCAGGGAAAGGATTAATCTGCTCGATTGAGCAGATTAAACGTTTCCGGTAAAAAGAGAGTTGGGAGAGTTGGGATGTGTACTCACCGGCCCAAGCGGGTCCATTGGGTAATGAAGGGAAGGGGGGAGGAGTCCAGTGACGTCACAGACATCGACGTCACCGGACTCCTCCCCCCGTCCCTTCGTTAGCCGACAGCCACTTGGGGAAGGGGGGAGGAGTCCGGTGACGTTGATGTCCATGACGTCACCGGATCTCCGACGGAAGACCCGGAAGCCGGCGAAGAGGGGATTACGTATCAAAAGAACTTTGATCGATCAAAAAAATTAACAATTAATCGAGGGATTAATCGTTAATTTCCGCAGCCCTAATATATATAGTATATACTATATATATTAGGGCTGCGGAAATTAACGATTAATCCCTCGATTAATCGTTAATTTCCGCAGCCCTAATATATATAGTATATACTATATATATTAGGGCTGCGGAAATTAACGATTAATCCCTCGATTAATCGTTAATTTCCGCAGCCCTAATATATATAGTATATACTATATATATTAGGGCTGCGGAAATTAACGATTAATCCCTCGATTAATCGTTAATTTCCGCAGCCCTAATATATATAGTATATACTATATATATATATATCTCAATCACACCCACACACACACCCAGGTGAACCTTAGAGATACAGTATACATTTCCACGCAGGAGTTATCTCAACACGTGTCACATTCTTGCAGAACACTGTAACACTTAAAGCCATAATCACTTGTTACAGGAACAATAGTTCCTTGTGAAATGCCAGCTCAGAACCTGAAACCTAAGCAAATGCAGAGCGTCACCTCCCCGGCAAATACAGATCAGGTGTATTTGACATTTACATTGTATTTGCAAGCAGAGGTGCCGTGCTACGTAGTTAAAGGGACAGTCCTGGATTAGGTTTCGGCACTGATCAAACACCCCCGGTTGCTCTGTATGTACAATCTGTAAGAAGTATGCAATGCATTGTACTGAAAGCTGCCAGGTTTAGCACGCTGGATCCAGATGAACAAGTTGTTCTTAGAATTATAAGATCTATATCAATGTTTCTTACAGTAGAGGGAGAGTTTCTACATCATCAGACTCCTCCAGCACTCAGTGAATGCAATCACTTTAATAAGATATTCCCGATTCAGACGGCTCGAGATATAAGTTTGATTTGCAGCTTTCTATCACTTTTAGCTTCTTTATTACTTTTAGCCCTCATTCACACCGTAATCGGCCCGCACGTACAGCTCTGTGCACGGCCGTACCAAGCAGCTCCCGGGAAGGACAGGTGCTGCGTGTGATCAGTACCCAGCCCCCGTCCTTCTCTATGGGACTACGCAGTCGTACACCCCCCCCCACGCTCACCTCAAGTGCAGGTCCGTAGGGGTGCGTGTTTTCCAGCTCAGCGTTCGCTCACCCGCACGGACACGGACATACTCCCATAGAGAAGGACGGGGGCTGCGTACTGATCACACGCAGCACCTGTCCCTCCCGGGAGCTGCCCGATACGTCCGTCCACGCAGCACAGAGCTGTACGTGCCGGCCGATTCCCGTGTGAATGAGGGCTAATAAACTTGCTGAAGTCGACCTATGGGAAGCAGATTGAGCTTCACAGGAAATGTTCGGGTGCCGTCCACCCTCGGTCCAGAACATTTCCACTTTCGTCGATCTTCAGCAGTTATAGAGTTGATTGCTAAATTCCTGCACTTAGCACATTGCACTTTGCCCTATTGAAGAGAAAACAATGCCGTCCGGATGATGTATGTTTACTGCAAGGATGAAACTTTAAAGGCCAGGTTCACACTTGGCCGATCCGTGACCGCGAGGCAATCGTGCACGAAACCGCGCGGTCAGACACCACTGATTCCCGCTGGCAGTTGCATTCTTTACTAGTCGCACCGGGCAGATCGCATGGATTCCACCCGTGCAACCGTGGCTGCAAGAACCGTACATGTACCTTTTGTCAGCGATTGCCGCACAGATGTAACAAATCAATGGGGCAGCGCAGCGAACGCTGCGTGCAAGCGCACACGAAACGCACGTTCCTGGGATTACCCAAGTGTGCACCAGGTCTATAGTAGAACGATGGCCTTCTGTTGTATATAAATATATGCTGCAGCACCTTATGATATGCGCACTTACATTTTTCTCTTAGCCCCCCCCCTGCAAAGTCCCAACAGCATTGTTGCTGCTGATTTATATGCCTGTAGCTTGTCAATCAGCACTTAGTCCCGCCCACTGCTTACAGGATTGAAATCATTGTTTCTGCTGCTGAAACCCCCCCCCCCCCCACTGTGAGCTGCAGTGTCTGGGAGGGGGAGCGGATGAGACACGATTGAAGGAGGATTTAACTTAAAGAAGAACTTCAGGCAATGTTTTATTAACTCTTGCAGTAAGGGTTAACTGCTCGTTTTCGTCTAGGTACAAAAATAATAAAGCTGTACTCACCCGGAGTTCTTAGACCGCTTCTTCCAGCATTGCACTGCAGCAGTCTAAGGATCCTGGGTGTCATCATGTTGTATGCACTGTGCATAGACGTGAGGACACCGAGCGGCATATCATGATTGCAGCGTAGGAGGACAGAGGCTGGAGGGAGCACTCTGACAGCTAGACGGCTCGGAGGTTCAGACGAGTATAACTTTATTTTTTTGCACCGAGACCAAAACAAGCATTTAACCCAGTGAGGGTAGCCCTGCTGCAAGGGTTAATAAAAAAAATTATCCGGAGTTCTTCTTTTAAATAGGGTCAAGGAAGTTTACGTCATGGGGCTCCTGCAGCACATAGTAACCGGATTTGGGACTTGTTTAGAATGCGACAACCAGATCCATTAGTAATACTTCATTATAGATTCTGTTCCCGGAGATACCGATGTACCACGCCACTTCTAAAATGGACTAGAGAGGGTATGCCTTCATTAACACAGCAGTCTTAACATCCCTTAAGGTCCCGTGGCTGTCTATCCTATTGCAGGAGATGTCTGGCATTTCACATCAGGTTCTGAACAACTTCTAGGGAAAGGAGGCGTGTCAATCAGGGAGCAATAGGTTTATAATTATATTGTGCAGAGCGTACAGAACACCCGCAGGATCTCATAACTCCCTGCAAGCAACGTGTACATTTCTGTCTGGATTTTTTTTTTTTGCAAATCGCAGTGCCTTCAGATTAACCTGGAAATGTGATATTGAATGTCAACGAATTACATTGTAATGATATAAAGGTTTAATAAAATGTATAAAACATATGTGGAGTTCTCTGTCTCATATCATAACATAAGGCCTTGCGCTGAGTGCAGTAACAATCACAAGGGTTCACAGCCATGGACGCATCCGGTCGGTTGAGGCGGGTCCATCCTTCTGCTGAAATAATATCCATACGATAGCTTAAAGCAGAACTCTTCCCTAGATGTTGCTCCTCGCTCTCTCTCTCCGGGGGAAAATTAATTGCAACCCTTGCAGTGCGGCTACCCCCCTACACTGCAAGAGTTAAGTGCCAGTCTAGGGAGGAAAATAACAAAGTTATACTCACCTGATCCCCAGAGCCGGACAGCTGTGACAGCGCTCCCTGAACCCTGTCTCTTCCTCCGCTGCAGCAATGATATGTCCCTCAGCGTTCTCAGGTCTTATGCAGTGTATAGAACATGATGACTCAGGGACCTTAGACCACTGCATTGGAGAGAGGCTCCAGCAAGCCGGCTCCGGGGATTGAGTCAGTATAACTTTGTTCTTTTCCTCCCAAAACGAGCCCCCTGCAAATTTCCCCCGGAGGATGAAGATAAAAGGGAAAAAAAAGCCTGAGGGCTAGTTCACACCAGCCCCAGTGCGTTCCGGCCCAAATGGGGCCGGAACGCACTGGATCACAATGCGGCCGCCTCACTTTGTTTTGGGGTGGGAGTGGGCGTGGTGGTGAATGGAAAGCATTGGCACTGCAGCCACGCCCTCCGGCGGCAACGCGATTGCCTGCACTGACACACATGGCACATCAGTGTCTGCATTCCGGTCCGGTGCAGTCAGAAAGAAATAGTCTATTTATTTTTTTTACTGCACCGGACTGGAACGCAGGCACTGATGTTGCGGGCGATTGCACTGCGGGCGGAGGGTGTGGCTGTGGTGCCATTGACTTCAATGCACCGCCATACCTCACACCCCAAAAACAAAGTGAGCTGGCCGGAATGCGATCCAGTGCATCCCGGCCCCAATCGGACCAGAACGCACTGGGGCTGGTGTGAACTAGTACTCAAATAAATGAAACGAATGCAGCCGCTACATCGAAGGACTGGTGAACTGCAATAATATATAATCCTGTAGAGTCCTATATGACAATTTTGTTTTTGGGTTTAGATAATTTTT